AGTGATGAAGAATCTACCCTCCGCTCCATGTAAATTGTTCAAGCAGGTAATTTCTCCTCTCTGCTGAAACCACATGCCATATTTCTAAGGCAGATTGTCTAGACAGATGTGTGTGAGAGCCCACCTCCAAAGCTTTGCTTCAAATACAGGTACTCATAAATTATACCTGTATGAGCCTTTCCCTTTTCTCTACTGAAGAGCTCCAGCTTTTGGAAACTCTTGCTGTTAAGACATTTTCTAGTCCTCAGTCATTCAGTGAACTCTCTTCTGAACCCTCTACTCTTGACTTGTACATGTGAGGCCAGGACACTTTTAAATGGAGACCAGTTAGAGACTTTGTCCATAGCATCTAGAGTTCCCAGATTCGTACACACAAGGATTCCTCTAGCCCTTCAGTTGAAGCAAACATTTTCTCCTGTTGGGTTATCTGCCCTGGCCTCCCTGCAGACTCACTGCTTCTGAGGACTCCACTAACCTGTGAGGACGACCTGAAAGATTTGTCCTCTAATGAATGACTTTACTTTTGGCTGTACTGAAGCTTGTATCAAAAATTTGTTGCTTAGGTGCAGTTTGCCAAGCATGTCACATTGCTCCTACTCCGGGACATGATTTCTTCATTATTGAGTGCTCCACCATTTCATGTGACTTTGGGTCTGTCCCTGCTCACTGAGCTATCCAAGTACTTCACATCAGATAAAATACAAAAGAGGAATAGAAACAAAGAGCCTTCTGTCTCACCTGCCTCCTTAACCACAAGGCTGAATCACATTTCTTAGACTTACTTTAATTTTGTCTGCCTAGTAGAGATAACACAGAGCTATGGAGGAGGACCTCTATCTCATCTCTCCTAATTAATGAGCAAGTGCCAAATTTGCTGGGTGTGCCTGGCTACACCAGTGGCCTGTAAGCTAATGTCAGCCCAGATGACATTGTCATCTATCTCCTTGTTCCTGGAAGAGATGGGGAGTATCACTTGAACTGTTCCTGTAGGGAACCTTTCTAAATAACCACAAGAAATCTCCTCATCCTGCTGTAACATAGACTACAGAGCAACCTCTACCTCCATCTCCCCAGACCCATGCTGCAGCAGTGCAGGAGCCTTGTTTGGTGCCCCGTGACAGATGAGGGTGGAGATAGCTCTTTGCTTTAGGGGATGCTGTCTGCTCCTGTGGGTTGTGCCACCAGTATTAGGTCCCAAAGCTGATAAAAGCGAATTGCTGGTTATTTTAGAATATTGGACTCCCCCACAATTCACAGGACCCTGTCTTTGATGTTCTGCATGAAATTCAATGCCGAGGTGAATTCAGAGTGCATCGACTAGACTGAGCCTTTTGTGAGACCTTGGTGCTGGGTTTCCTAGTCTGTGGATGCCACTCAGCTGTGGGCATGAAGTAGGTACTGATAGCTCAGTGTGTGTGAGATGGTGGTGAGTGTGGGCTGCACAGAAGCCCAGGAATGCTGAGGTTTGATAGTGAGGTACCACATGTGTTTGGAAAACATCAGGCTTGGTTGCAAGTGCCTCAAATAGCTTGAGCATCCCTCCTCCTTTTTTTTCCCCTCTAGACACCAGTTTCCTCTACTGGATCTAGCCATAGTGATTTTGACTGCAGCCCTCATGTATTGTTTCCATCCACATAGGGCTCTACTTCTTCAGTTTTTCCACCATCCATTCCTCTTCAGCCTCTTTCCATCACTGCAACCTTTTCCCTCAGAGAGGTCCTACTATTTCAGATCTTTGCCAAATTTAACTGGTCATGAACACAATGAGCCAGGTTCTGATCTCATTTACTTCTGCAACCTTAATAGAGTTTCTCTGGACTTGTTCTAATGCATATGAGAACAGATCCTCTCCCATTTAATTTTCCCTACTGCATATTTGCTAAGTGCTAACTGTGTATTTGGCTCAGTACAGAATGCAGACAAAAAGACTGATGCATAATAGAGAGCTGTTACCTCCCAGATGCTGCTGCCTGGGCCATTTGCACTGAGCACTGTAGTCATGACAGTGTCTACTCCCACAGTGCTCCTACACCAGCTCCAAAATTACTGAGATAATTTTTTCTTTAAATACCCTGCTAACTTATAGGTGTCTTACTGACTTGCATGTAATAAGATTTCAATATCAACACGATGTTAATATTTAACAATTATCCACAGGAGCTTCTCACACCTTTTCCTTTGAAGATACAAAGAAGCCCAACGCCTACCTGTTTCTAAAGCCCTGTCATCAGTTTGAAGCAGATTCAGGTAATATGTTGGACCGTTATCAGTTATTGTCACCTGCAGTAGCCCATGGCACAAGACTGCCCTAAAATATGTTTTCCCTGGGAGCCTTCCAGATTTCTCCGATTGCAATCTCCTCACAAGCCAGAGAGCGCTTGTATTGTGTAAAACAAGAAGTAGAAAAACAAGAACTAAGTGGATAAGAAATAGCCCAAGTGACTTAATTTCTGTTTTAATTCAAAAAATACACCAGGCCCCTGATATTTCCCACATAGAACTCCTTTCTCTGCAGCACAAAGAGGATATATTTTAAACAGTACTGTTAATGGAATTATATGTTGCTGCTGGATAAAGGTCTGCTGTGGAGAGATAATTGTTGAGACAAAGCTGAGGTAGTATTTATTGAGATAAACATTGAGGCAAAGCCAAGATGTTTATTTTCTAAGCACCCGACCTTAATGCAGACAAAATATATAATATCATTAGCATTATTCCTAATGCGTTGGCAGTCTGAACATGCCCCACCACAAACTCTTGTTAACTCGATGGTGTCAGAATTGGGCCTCAAATGAGAAATGCACCCAGGCTGATCCAAGTGCCAATGCCAGAGGGCAGCTCTGTTGACCGTATCAGGGTTAATGCCCAAGTGTTGCCCCTCTTGACTGGTGTCTGCCCTTTTGTAGCCCAGGGACATGGCAGAAGTACTTTCTGCAGACCTGGCTGCTCACAGATGAAGCATCAGAAAGAATAGATTTCTTTGTTGTTGGTTCAATGAAAAACTAAACTAAAACATTTGCTGATACTTCAGCTTCATTTGAGGTAATAAAACCATGGGAGGTATGACCAGCCTGTCACCAGATCGTTGTTTTACAGTTTTTAAACTCAATTTTACACATACTTTTAAATAATTCATGCACGTTTGTCTCAGCATTGGTGAAGTACAGGCCCATAAAAGCACATGGGCAGCCTCAAGCAGAAGCAAGGCCATGTGGTAGAAGAGAAGGACGGACTCTGTGATACACTCGGGTGCTGTGTGCAGCTGCCCTTGCATGTTTGTGTGTGCACATGTTGTGCACAGTGACCTGCTGCATCTTACCTTCTGACTGTTTTGTGGGTTTCCTTCAGTAAACCATGAACTGAGGGAGATGGTGATCTGCAGGGCTTGCCCTAATGCACCCTCAGGACGCAGCCAGGTGACCCCTCAGGACTGACATGGAGGGGTTTGCCAGACCAGCCCTGTGGGGTATATCTAATCTTACTGGGAGCTATGAATTCATCCTAATTGTTTTCAAAACTCTTTACAATGTTTGCATATAAAAAGTTGGCAATCACAGAAATGCCAAGGGAACATAATGTGATTCATGCCTTTACAAGTGCTATGAGGTAAGTTGACCTGATTACAGAAGAGTGTATTTCTAGCTTTTCCTTCAGTTTTGGCAGATTCCCACAAGAGTTATAATTTTGATTTTAGTTCTTCACTAAAGAAGAAGTCAGATCTGACAGGTAGATATTAATTATTATTATTATTATTATTATTATTACTTGTGTTTGATAATGTTAAAAGTCTCCAATAAGATCAGCAATAGTCACTATATGCTCATATACACAACAACTGTCTTAGAGTAGCTACAGTTGTAAAAGAAAACTGGGTGGAGGGATATAATGTACAAGCAAAAACCTTGACAGTTTACGAGTGTGAGGTTATTCTCATGATTTTGTCATTAAACTACTTCTGTAACTATTTATATATTGAAAGAACAAATTCACAGGAAATATAGCACAAAAATTAAAGTTGTATGGGAATTTTTGGTAATTACCTGAGTCTTAGACCTTATGACTGCTTGTACTGTGTTATCTCCCAAGTCATCTGTGCCTGTCATGCATTTGACAATACATGTTTTGTCAAGTCAAACAGGCTTCCTTAGAAAGAAAGAGGTGACACTATTACTGCCCAAGTAGGATTCTCTGTGTTTAATGCTGAGGTAGTCAAAGCTTTTTAAGGATCTTACAAACATGATTCACATGATGTTTTTCAGAAATTAGTATTAACTTTTTTATATGAGTAAAAGCATTTACAAATGAAGACACAAAGCCAAGTTGGTTTGCTTTTGAGAAATCTCAGGATTGTTTTGCTGTCAACTGCATCAATGAATTCCAGTAGATCTGAAAAGGAAAACTGTAATTACTGGATTACTTTTTGCTATAATATTCAATATTATGGTAATGAGGGATGAATTAAACATAGTATAGGACTGAGGAACCCCTGCCTTCTAGACTCAAATTCATAGAGCCATTAATTGGGTATTTAGCAGAAGGCATGTTGGATATGTATTAGGACTCTTAAATTGTCTGACAACATATTGTCTAATCCTTTCAGCTTCCATACCCCAAAAAGTAGATGTGAATCTTGCCCTCTACTCCTGAGTTGCATAGATGGGAAAAACAAGAGTAAAACCAGTTGTCATTTTGGTGTGACCAATGCACTGTAATATAAATTGTTTTGATCTATCAGTGTTATAAAAGCTATGCTTCAAGCAGGACAAATGCGAAGATAACTTTTTCAGTCCTTCCTCAGACAACACTGATTTTTCTCATGGATAGCTGAAGATGGTGAACAGCAGAAATAACACGCTAGCTGGAAGTCTCTAGAGGGGGCAGCACTTTTCTCTTTCAAAAGTTTGTAGAGTTAAAGGATATTTGCATATACTCACTAGCCTCTGTTCACATATATGCCCTGATCTTCCACTCAGCCTCCACAGTGTGCTTTGCAGCAGTGGTGGGCGTACATGCTGTGATGTGCCCAACAGCCACCCCACGGGGGTGGGCCTTCCATAGCAGTCTCTTTTGGTGGGATACCAGCCAGCACATTTCTTTTTTTTATTGTTAGAAATACAAGGTCAAATGCAGTTGGAATGAAGTCCTGTGGTTTGTGGTGGTCTTCGGCTTATGGGAAAGTTCATTCCACAGATTCAGAGCTCTAAAAAAGTTCTTACTACAGCCCAAAATAATTTTCCTTACCACAGTGATTTCTGTATTTTAGAGGACTGTGTCTGAGAGCGCTGAGGCTGATCATAGTCTTCACTTTGCAACTTTCTGTGTTTTTTGTAGTGTCCATGAAGGGTCTCAAAGGTAAAAAGCCTCAACTATGCTTGAAATGCCATGACTGACCAGGGCAGAGAGTAGGGGACAGGTCAGATTAATTCACAGCCATCTGTGTTCTTCTACAATCTTCTGTAATATCTGGACTTTGGTATCATGACATGTAGGGTGAAGATCACCTTCCCAAATCTCAGTCATGGAGGGTGTCAGGTGGAGTTTTCCCATAGGGAGACAGTTTGGCAAATGCTCCCTGCAGAAGCTGTTCTGTGTGAATATTGTCAGTCAGGAGTTCAGAGCTGCTACCAGATTAAAGACTGACTTTAGCCTATAGTGCATTCGTACTGTGCTGCACAGGGGCTACAAACTCTTCAAAACGAAAACATTTTCCTCCATTTATCAGAAACTTTTACTGCAAGTGAACTTCAGACATCTGTTCTAATACACACAGAGACTCCTGATGTCAGAGCTGAGGTCAATAGGCATTTTGATGGTGATTTTAATAAGTGTGTGCTCTAGTACCCTTTGCATATGCTATTGGGCTGCTTCTTCATCAAGACCTGAATACAATGTTTTCTGGGTTTGAAAAAAGTGTATTAATTATGTCAAACACTGAGCCCAGCCCAAACATCAAAAGGACTTGTAGGTGCTGACCTTCCCACTGGAGGTTTGCTTGACGAAACCAGTGGTCTGTACTGTATTATACATGACCATATTCTTTGTCCATAAGTTCTGCTGGTTTGCATAGATGTAACAGACCTGAAATCATTATGGTCCCCATAATTCTTCCACACATTCCTAATTACAAAATGCATGCTTCTATTAAAAAAACACAATTTGTACTAGAGTTGTTTTCATTATTTGCATATTTTGCTCTGGTGATCATAGAATGAGGAAGATGCTTGAGTTCAAGGAGTGGGAATGGAAAGAAGGACAGATTAGAAGTTACAAGAGTTGAAGAAAATTCTGTCATGTCTTTGTCTTCAAGCAGAAGGTAAATCATTAATATTTACTAGAAGAATTCATAAGAGATTTGAATGAACTTTCACAATCTTGACAATATCAGTATTTACCAAGCAGAGGGGCAATCTCCATTTCTATCAAATTTAAGTCTACTGGCAGTAGTGTCTGTGTTTGTCACTTACCTGTTGTGAAAATCTAGGCCACAGAAGCTTTTGCTCTGTCTCTCTTAGTGGTTTGAAAAAATCACAGAATTAAACAATTAACAAAAATGACTCCAAAAGGACTCCGAGTTGTGGAAAGGTCTCAAGACTCTCCTCCACCTCATGTTTGAGCCCATTCTCCTGAGTTGCTGCTCAAGCTCTGAAGGCAATAGGAGGCTGAAATGAAGGGACTGTCTCTTTTTAGAAAATGCAATGTGTTGTAAATAGTGCTCTGCATTGTTGACACTGCTTTAAGCACTATTAGGGGTAATGATTTGGACCCATTTGTCTCTCTTTAAATGAAATTATTGGTAGCATTAGATGGTGAATTATTCTAAGCAACATCAATTGGTGAAAATGACAACATTCCAGAAGGGTTATTTAAAATATAGTGTATTGTGTAATTCTTTTTATTTGTCTGTTGCACAATCCATTTGCTGATACTTGTTTCTCTCCCTCCCTCTCTATCCCCTAGGCTATCAAACAAAGCTGCCCAACCTTACACTCATCCATCATCCTTGAGTTATTAAGAAAATAGCTGCAGAACATTTACAAGTGGATGGGATGGATTGCTGGCTACTTTTCAAGAACACAGTCAATGCTACAAAAACTTTGCAAGATGGCAAATTTTCTCATGTTTCCTGTTCCTTGCTCTGCTACGACCTGCTAGAAGGAATGGTTTCTTGAATTTTGGGGTGACTAATCTAGGTTGATGCTAAAACTGTTAATCATTCATATCTAATACCAGATTATAATTTTATCTGAGTAAAATATTTCTTTTTTTGGTAACTTTTTCTTAAAAAGGCTGTGGGATACATTGGAGGCAAGGAAGGGGTCAGAATAAGTGCAGATATCTGAGGGCTAGTGTTATATGCCTTTCACAAGGTTAGGCTTAAAAAAATCAATGCCTGAAAGTAGAGGTTAAGAGATTGCAAGTGTCTCACATGAGAAGTGTAACAAAATGAAAGTAAAATAGATCATAACTGCACGACTTTTTCTCAGTGATTAAAAGAGAGAGGTTGGGATGGAGTGGAGTTGCCATGTAATAATCTAAGAATCTGATCAGCAATTTAGGGTGTGCACAAAGACATCTATGCTCCTGCAGTATTATTTACTCCCACAGCTTGAAATGCTTGGAAACACAGTGCAGAGGTTCCATGCAGGCCTGCACTGAACCAGACATGGTGTAGCCCTGAGTGCTGTGCCAGCTGAACATGATTATTCTGCCTTGCAGTCCCTCTTGGCATATCCACACAGTACTTTGCTGTGCTGTGAGACTTACCAAATCAGCTCAGTGCTAGCTTGGGGATCTCTGCATTATGTTCTCTGCAATTTAAATGTACCCTTGGAAATTAAGCTAATTTGTTTGACTTCTAGAGGGGTAGGAGGTTGCTTCCTGACTAGCCAGCATTGCTCTAATTAGGTGGGACTATCAGAAGACCAAAACATGTCAGTCTGTACAGCGACTTTGCAGACAACAATATCTCGGCAGTCACTGAAACACTGCTCCATTTGAGCATCCTATAGGCTACTCAGTGAAAAGCTCCAGGTTCTTCTTTGCTGGTTTAGATACCTACAAATCCAGAGATCAGCAAATTTATTCCCAAGAGGGAGCAGTCAGCTGTCTGGAGCTGCCACTGGGCACAGGTCAAAGTGGGGAGAGGTTTTGGAGTCCAGAGGAGCAGCCATCAGTCAGCCTTAGTGGGAGGCAGAGAGACAAACTGATACAGATAGCTCTTTTGTTGTGGAGCCTTTTTCTCTGCCTTGCCTTTGCTCTGAGTAACCAGGCTCTGCCTTAGCAAGGCTGTTTGCTGATGGACACCACTACGCTCGTGGAGGCAGAAGAACTGAGAATGAGTCAGGACCATGAGATAATCCTGGCTGACCACAGCAAACTGGAGCCTGGGAGAGTCATGGGGCTCTCTGGCAGGAGACATGGAAACTAGGAGCCTGGGACTATGAGAGGGAGCACCTGATGGGATCAGGAATGTAATTTACACAGTTATAATGACAAAATTTATGAACTTGCATTTTTAAATTCTTCTTTTTTGTGCCAGTTCAGAAATTGGCCACAAAGTTTTGTTTATAGACAGTAGTAAATTTAGCATGTCAGAAAGCATTTAGTATCAGGAAAAGTAGCAGTTACACTACTAAAACATGACTAATTTTCAGCAGCTCCACACTGTGAGTTGCCACTCAATAACAACACTGCTTGGTGACTCCACCCTGCTTGTACAGCAATTAGCTGGCTTTTACCACTCCATGTTGTGAAGGACCTCAGCAAACACAGCACAGACTAGTCTTAGGGAGTATTTACCGAAGTTGTTGTTTGTGAAGAAATATCACAAATTGAGCCACAATTACATGAAACACAAAGGATAAATTTCAGTGATAAATTCTTCTACTCAGGAGGGAAGCTGAATGAAAAGCAATGGTTCCCCGCTGTAGCTGCACTCTTCTCCTCGCTTTTGTCATTTTGTTTCGTATCTTCCCTCTGACTTTTCTTCCTACTGTATGTTGCTGTGATGAACATCACACCTGATACCACCCAGCCTTAGCAACCCTCTGCCTTGCCTTCTGGCTCTCCTCCCTGTCTTCCTCTCAGTGACTTGTATTTTCGTTCAGAGATTCCATCTCATTAATTAAGTTTCCAGCTGCTCCACCTCCCTCCTGATGTGGCATTCAACTCTAGCTCAACACTTTTAACAAAATCCCTGGTTATCAACCTGATATTTATCAAGCACATTTATCTTCCTCTTGTTTAAGTCTCCTCCAGCACTGGCCTTATCCTTTGCTTCATTATTTGGTTCTTCCATTACTCCCAGGCCATAAATTCCCTCAAAGCTTTCTTTGTCGTTGATCTACTTCTTCAACTCTCTTTGAACTTCTGTGTTGCACCAACACCCTGAGTGCTGGCTATAACCCTGACTATAGTCTGAAGAACGTGTCCACAAGAAGCACTGAATGTTCATGCAAGTTCACCCTGATTTTGGAGACAGTTTCCAGTCTCCTGCTGGCACATCTGATGCAAAGGAAAGTCAAGTACTAGTTGTCTACTTTCAAATTGCTCTTCTACATGTTATTTTGGTTTATCCCTAAGCAAAACAATCCTGCCTTTTTCCTTACAATATTTAGGAAGTAAACCTATGTTATATATTGATTATTCTGCTCACGCTTTGATTCCTAGGGCAAATGATCTGCCCAGGTAGTCCAAGAAAAATCCCCTCCATTTAACCCTTCTGTGTTAGCACCAACCCAGAGACCAGCTTCTTAGACCTCACTTCTTTCTACTCTTTCCTTGTCAGCTTCTTTGTCAGCCAGCTTCATGCTATCATGTCCCACACTGCAACCAATGGCAAGTTTCCTGTCGAAGTTTATAAAACTGCTGTCTTACAAATAATTCCTTGTGCTTCTCCCTTTGTTGTCATTACCTTGAAAGCAGTTCCATGTACCAGTGCCTAGAAAGGCAGTGAGCTTATTCTTTTCAGAACAAGCCATGCCAGACCAGAAGAGAGCAGCACATTTTGTTTTGTCTTTTGAAATTCTTAGTATATTAAAAGGATCTCATTCTGATGCCATTTTCTCCTATTTTCAAATATTTATTTGCATTCCCACTCTCCCTATAGTTTTTCTCATCTTTCCCTTCCCTACGAGGTCCAGAGACATTATCATTGCATCCCATATGAGCCAAATTATGCCAACAGCCAGGAGGTGTGGTGGAGGCTAACTTGGGTCACACAATTTCACTCATCTAGGCCATCCAGTCCTTAGTTATTTCAGGTAATGAGTTCAAAATAAATCTTAAGCCGTTAAGACAACAATATGACTTGATTCTGGGTTGTATTTTCTGTGAACAGAATTCCTAGGAGTATTGATTTCCATTGAAGGACCACCGCCTCCCTAAGATCCTGCTTTATGGTGAACTTGCCACTGGCTGCTGCATGAGAGGAGCCCCGAAGAAAAGATACAAGGACTCCCTGAAGCAACATCTCAGCCTTGGCCATATTGATCAACATAACTGGTCTACTCTGGCCTCAAACCGGGAGGTCTGGAGACACACCATCTATAACACTGCTGCTTCCTTTGAGAAAGCACACAGGATCACTCTTGAGGAGAAAAGACAACGCAGAAAGAATCGAGCCTTGCAGAATATACCACCTAAGGAGTCTTTCTGCTGTGCCTTTTGCAATCGGACATGTCTATCTCGTATTGGCCTCATTAGCCACCAGCGTGCTTGTAACAAATGTGGATAGAGCCTTTCCCAAATCTTCATTTGCGAAGCCTAGCCATGATGATGATGATTGATTTCTATTGATTTCCAAGCTGATATGAATATGTTTTGTTTTGTTTTTTTTATTGTCTCGTAGATTAGAGAAGTCCCTTTCCATGCGAAATCAGGAATGTTTGCAAGAATTTCCTACAGATTGACCATTGGCATGAAATAAATGCATCAGACCTCTGTAAGAAACAGAGTAGACCATTACTGAAAGCAAAAACTCTCAGCTGACATGTTGGCTGGAATTAAAAATCCTGTTGTGTGAAAACAAATTTCTAATTCTCTTTCTTCCTCCCTTGTTTTTAAGGTGAATTTAACTGTGTTAGAGGGAGAAAAACTGAGAACATGATGCAAGAATGACCCGGTACTTTTTCTGAGAGTGCACAACCCATCTTGCTGTGTGTTGTTGGAGGACACAATCCATCCTCAACCGGTTGGTTTATACAGGGCACCAGCAGAGCTGTAAGCTCACAATGGCTCATTGTCACTATCAAAATAAGCACATTAGAATCACAAAACACTTAAGCATAAAAACATAAAACTTGATTTGCTGTTGTCAGTCCCTTGAAGTGCCTGGTGCTGGCAGAACAGGTCTTTTAAAACTGAAGGCCAGCTGCTCAGCTAGTGTAAATCAGCATAGGATGTTGTGAAGTGGAAAAACATTGGTACTGCTTAAAGGTTGTTTTAAAGAAATCAGAGTAACTACATATTTAACATGCCCACTGGGATGTGTATAAAACAAGATTCTAATTTGCAGAAAAGAAGATTTAAATTATATATGAAAAAAGAATATCTAGTGGCTAGGCACCAGGCAGGCTGTGTTTTAAATCTCCTTCACTGGAGGTTTGTAGGAACTGATTAGACCAACATCTGTCACACATGGATGGATTCTGCTCCAGTGGAGAGACTGAACTGCATGTGCTCTGGAGATCTCTTCAGTGTTTGCACAGCATGAAAAAATGGACCTCAGTGTTGAAACAGTTATGAGATTAGCAAAAAACCTTTGGCTCCTTGCTTCCTGTTCAAGATGGGCCAGAAGATTCCCATATTGGTTCAGTCCCATCAGTGTTAACCTCTGTGTTATTCAGCCAAAGTTTTTCAGCCTGCACTTGATTTCTGAGCACAGCTAAGAGAGGAGACATGCAGTGCGTGTAAATCATTCTAGCAAATTCACTGGCAAATATTAAATCAATCCAGTAAAACTTTAATATTCCTTTTCATGCTAAAATGAGCTATAAATGCTATTTAACTTTGTAGTTAACTATACTATATAAGTATCTAGTTATTACTGTATAGCTATAAAAATATAGTTATAAAATTGTATGCAGTAGTTACTTATTAAGTAGCTATAACAACTATGCTGTTTTGGTTTCTTGTTTTGTTTTTATGTTTTTTTTGTTAGCTTGTTTTTGTTGGTTTTTTTTTTGTTTTATTTGTTTGTTTGTTTGTTTGTTTGTTTCCCCCAGAAAAAACAGAGTCAAAGGAATGTAAAAACTTCCAGTTGCTTCAATGGAAAATATGTCAGAATTAAAGGGAGGTTATTAGTGTATTTTGACAATTAGTGGTAGGCACAGCAGAGCCACAGTGGTGATATGTAACTGCAATTCACAGTGTACACTTTTCCAATGGAATTTGCCAAGCATGTTATAGTAAAAAAAATATGTTCTTCCATCTTAGTCTGCCATTTGACATTTGCTCTGAGAAGTTTATAAGTATTTTAGTAGTGCAAGAGGTAGATTTCAGTGGTGTCTCTTCTGTGGGATTCTCTGCACTGGCTTGCCCACTCTCCTGGTTAGTGTGCAGTTTAAGGATCGATATGAGAAGAGGGACAGGACAATTATACTTTCAGAAGATCATTATAATTTCTCCAGATCCCTATATTGTTCAGGCCACTTGAGTGGAGTTGTTTTGAGGCAGGAAAGTGCCTTACCACCTAGCACAGTTGAAGCTGAGACAAAGCTTGCACAAGGGCATTTCTCAAATTATGCTTGTGGAATGGGTTGTCCAGGCATCTGCAGCCTCAGGGACACTTTTCAAGGCTAAGCCCCAAGGCCTGGCAATGGAGGGATGAGGACACCGCACTGTTAGTGCACAAAGAAAAGAGAGGGTCAGATCCCTTGTGAAGCCTGGAGGGAAATCTCCCACTGATCTACTAGTGATCAAGGCCAGGTACAAGTACCAACAGACGTGTTACAAGTACCAACACACGTGTTACGCCTATGTGTCTGTGTGCTGTATGACAGCCATAGGAAGTCCAATAAGTGGAAAATAGTGCCCATCATAAGCACACAGAAAACATAATGTAGCTTCCCAGGTTAATAGGAAAGCACTTGAGACTTTGGGTTTTTTGAGGTTTTTAAAAGTATCCCATTGGTAGTTGACCCTGATGCTTCTCTGCTAGATGGTTATAACACCAACTGTGCACCATAAATTACCAGGGCAGTTAACATTCAATTACCTGCTGGTGTTTTGGGGCATTATTCTACTGGACAAGAGAGCCAGCTGGGGATCAGCAGCACTTACTGGTTTAGGAGGAATATCACACATGCACAGCTCCATTGCTTGCAGAGCCAGTTCCGGTCTGGCAGAGGGTTTTCTGCAGGCTCAGAGGACAAAATTAAGCAGCATACCTAAACTGAGCTCACCAGCTTTAAATGGGGTACTCCTGTTCCTCCTTCCTTCCTATTCCCCCACTCTCCTAGTCTTTCCCACCTTCTTCTTTTTCACCCTGGCAATAACAAAGCCTTAATCTTAAGGAGCCATGCTGGACTCCAGCTGACTACTTGCACAGCCCCCTTGGGACCCTCTTTGCTTTCCCGGTATGAGGACTGCAGAGCAGGTATGCTCACATCTGGCATTGTTGGCTTTAAGCCCAAGATGGTAAATCCAGCCAGATCACTGAGCACTGAAGAGAAAAACATGCTTGCTCTGTAGTGGGATAAGTAGGCTTGGTATCTCTGGCCACATGCCAGTTTTGCTAGTGCTGTGTTGTCTCTGGGTAACCCTATCTGGATGTCCCTGTGTCACCCTCTCCAGTACCTGTGTGATATCATTCCTGCCATTGTCTAGAGTGTTCCAGCCCTTCTGTTTCATCCTGCAGTTTCTTTGAATTGTGCCACTTTTCATTAATAGATAATGTGCCATTTCAAAAGAGGAAAACTCAGTTTTTACTCTGTCCTTATAACTTCTAGATGGAGTCTCATAGGGTGGAGTACAGTAGATTGTAATCTCCTGGCCTTCAATAGTAAAAGAGTACTATTCATGAATATTTTGTACTATGAAGAGCTCATCACTGAGGAACAACGGCAGAAGCACATAGAGATTCAGGATATTTTTAAAAATAGGACCCCAAAATAGGCAACTGTGAAGTAGGAGTCTGGGTGTGATTTTCATTTAAATAAATTTGTTTTCTGAAATTTCATTTTTTTAATGTCAAAATATTTCCAAGCAATATCAATTTTGTCAAGAAGAGTGGCAGACAAAGTAATTGAAGATGTAGGCACATATCATACTCTGTGACAAGGGGATTAGCTAATTTCCTAGACTAAGATTCTGACTCATTCCCTGCTTTGCTGTAATCCAAGTGTCAAGGATGGAAGGATTTATAAGTGAGTACCACAAAAGAAACTCGGATGGGGATACTGAAAGACCAATGCCACCTGTGCCTTCTCAAAGTGGAAAAGCACAAGGTTTAATCTGCAAAAAGATGTCTTAGTACGCTCTTGACAGAAGAAGAATTTGAAAGGCATTATTTTAATCTCTGAAGAACAAAAATAACAATCATTTTAATACTTAAATGTGGTCATAAACAACTTAGGTCACACTTCTGGTCCATGCTACTTTTGTCATGGGATTGCAGTAATGCTCTACTGCAACAAGTCCGGAAACAGTAAAAAAGAAAAGATAGCACATGGTGTGTACAGCAGAAGGCAAAGGCTGAGCTGGTAGAGAAAGTCTGGAGTCAGACTCTGGTGGAGGCTGGTTTTTTTTCTCAGTCTAGACCTGAAGTTATTTCTACTAGTTTGACAGATCTGTCAGCTCCTTGGGATCTCTCTGAAGCAGTCTGTGGGTCTTGTGGGCTACTTTAGCAATTGGAGTGCCAGGACTCCCTCTGGTCACACAATCAGAGTATCTGGGAAGTACCAGTCCTGCCATGCTCAGGGAAGTCTGCAGGGGAGCTGTACGGAGAGAAAATGCACACTGAAAAAAGTGCATGAACAACCTGGACAGAAGAGCACCATGGCAGGGCAGAAAGGGCAGTAGGTGAGAGAGTTTAATAGGAGAGAGAAGAAATAGATTATAGAGCGTTTGACATGGTGGTATGATGGCCAAAAGGTATTTCAAGCAGAGCAGTGGATGTGAGCATGAAAGTCCAAAGAAGCTTTAGGTGTGTACACTGTCTGTGTCACAGGGCTTGAGGCTGAGAACAGCATGACAGGTGGCCACCTGTCTCCAAAGCAACAATCTAAGAAGACTGTGCAGCTGCTCCCAAAGTTTGGGGCTGCCTGTACTCAAAAGGGAGGTCCTGACATGCCCTGGGCACCTCTAGCTCTGCTTCGCTGCTTGACCAGAAGCACCACAGCCCACATGGCTCTGTGT